TATTTGGTTGAAACCATATATTTGGGCGGGACATACTGATGGGATCAACCTCTTTCTTTTTTAAATAGCCAACAGTCATTAGTTTATGCTTCTACTACACTCCTTGGTACCATCTTTGTACCTTATTTAACTCTAAATGGTACTTATTAGTACCTTAAATGTACATATTAATACTTTAAAAGTATATATTAGTACCTAAAGCATACATATTAGAAAGGGTACTGCCACCATTTACTTTTTTAATAAGTGAATATATGAAAGCATTGAAGAAACTAAAGAATAAACTATAGTTACGTCACAAGCAATTGATGGCTGAGAAACTAAATAAAGTAATAAAGTAAGTATAGTACACAATAGACCAATCAGAACACAGTTTAGAAATGGTTTCTAGCTCAAGTGTTAAAAATTGATTTTATTTTTAATTCAATTAAATTTGTCCTCTTAGTTTGTGTTGTCCCTTATTAATGCAAAGTCATTACAAAATTAATAAGGACTTATAATCCCACAATTACAAACTTTTCAAGGATGCTGTATGAACTAGGGAAAATATTGACAATGATATTGGCAAAAAGATAAGCACTCACCCACTGTCCATACACAGAGCTCACATTTTAGCAACTGCTTGGATGCTTGATGTGTATATGGAGTGATAAAATACTGTATAACCACTGCATTAAAAATGAGTACAACACACACAAAAGAGAGAGTGCTATATAAAGGCAGAAAATAAGATGGGGTCGTAGTTCAGCAGGCCTAGTCATGCTCATGGAGTAAAGTACACTACTACAGTAGGTTACGATCACAGACATGGACTAAAAGCCACAAGGAGATTCCAAGGCGTCTTTAAAGTCTTATTATGTATTTTAGCCAAGAAGTAATGCTTTAAAGGGGTCATATGATGCAATTTAAATTTCAGAAAGGCGGGGCATAGAGGAGAAACAATAATGTACAGTATGTGGAAAATAATGTTTTTTTTTAACCTTAAACCGCATAAACACATTTCATTACACCAAATGCACAAAATAATGTTCTTTTTAGCAACATCATATGACCCCTTTAAAGTTAAAATGTCTTAATGATGGATTTGTTCTTACATAAACACAGCTTTTCACATCACAAGAAGTTAATTAATAGACTGGAGTCGTGTGGATTACTTGTGGATTATTGTGATGTTTTTATCAGCTGTTTGGACTCTCATTCTGATGGCACCCATTCACTGCAAAGGATCCATTGGTGAGCAAGAGATGTAATGCTAAATTTCTGAATTCTGAATCTAGAATTGAAGAAACAAAATCATCTACATCTTGGATGGCACAAGGGTTAGTACATTTTCTTTTCTGGGCGAACTATTCCTTTAAGTAGCTTAACCAGATACATGCCCTTGGTTAAGAAATTTCAACAGGTACTTTTTGATGCATAGCTAAACTGACCAGCACTAAAATCAGTACCTAACTAGCATAAAAATTATTTTACAACAGAGTGCTACATGATCACATAAACCTTCGCCTTTACTTTGGTTTCACACACAATCTATTAAATGCCACATATAGCCATTATCACGTGTGTGCTTGTGTGTGTCGTGAGTAAGGAGCATGTGCACCTCCATGCAAAAGTGTGTGTAAGACCTCCCTTTGTGTCGCAGCATGTTGTTTTCACACCTCTATAATTGGATGTGAAACGGAGAGGATCGTCTTGCATTTGTGTGAGAATTACGTGGTCTTTCATTGCCTTATTGAAGTCCTAATGCCCAAGTCTGCACCGTAGCGGCGGCGGCCAGCGTGCGGTATGATCAGCTCACCCTGATCCCGCCATCTGATGGCTATCACCGTGGCATTTGTACACAGAGGTTCTCCGTCGCTTTCGGCTGGGTATTCAGAGTCTCTAAATGCTACAGGCTTATTTTCACACCACATGCCGCAGACCGACACAAACGGCGGCCCTTTGAGCTCCAGATTGGTATAAAAAACCCTGCATGATTCAGACAATGACTTTGATGTCGGTGGAAATAAAAGAAATGTCGTCTAAAGTCAATCTGCCTCCTCCCTGCTACGAAAATGTTAGAAAGTTTCCAGTTAGCAAAAAAGGTTAATTTTTTGAGAATGGAAGGCTGAGTTTGTGTTACAATAAATTACTGTTCAAGGACTGTCACAAAGAATAGAAATAAGACTGATGGTTGGAGCTGTGACACATAGGATATATTGAGAAGTTTTTGTGCTTGTGGCATCCTGGGTTCGAGTTTAGCCTGGGACATGTGCTAGTCTTGTTCATTCACCAATGCCTGTATTTAAATAAGTTTCTTCTTTTAAACCCAAATTGAGCTTGAATGTGATTTAGGGCTACACAATTATAATCATAATATTATATTGAAAAATAATAAATACTTAATCAAATAAATGACTGAGACTATGATTACCAGTCATGTCAAGTGTTGATTGTTGCATTCCTTTAGGTCTACTCCTGTCTTCATGATGTTCATTTTTGCAGCGGATGATAATTATTAATGATATTTTAGGTCCCATGGGGTTGATTTTTACTAAAACTAACAGATTAAACTTGGTTTTACTTTTGGTAATATGAAGGTTAAAATATTAAAGGTTGCATGTTAAAAACTGACACTCTAAAAAAAAGTGAAAATTAAGGTAATTTTTATTTCTGAGCATACTATTTTTATTAATATTTTTATTCTGTAATTTCCATTTGCAATTTTTTTCAAATTATGCAAAAAGTATGAAACACATATAAATATGTATTCTCCTATTGTATCTACAGTTGAAGAAACAATTACAATATCAAGGCAAACTAATTATTATTATTATTTTATCATAATTGCACAGTTTTACCGCAATTCATTTCTTAAAAATGGTTTGCGGGGTGTAACCCAATAAAAACTGAGCTACAGCAAGCCACAAACTCCTGAATAACCCGGCCCACTCTTGAGAGAAATGTTAAACACAGGCACGTAGGAGACGTCAACTTGACTGTGAAATGTTTTGCAGTCCATTGTTTTCCGGCAGCATCTCCATCTAATTGTCTTGTCCCATTAGGCCGTGACCAGGGTTTGGAAGAGGAAGACAGGCTCCCTTGGCAGATGCCTGCCATTTGTCTGAATGCCCTTGATCGACTCATGACAGATGCCAAGGCTTCCGTTGAGCGGGTACTCTCTGTCACATGACCTCTGTTCAGTGCGTCAGGATAACGTGGTGTAGTGGCTCTCTCGCACGCACCCGTATGGATGCACGCACACTTCGGCATCCATCAGTTCCCTGCTATTACCTCTGACAGGCCTCACCTGCCCAGACTGCATGGCCCATGCAAATTCAACCTGGTAGATGAGTGTTTGAATGGTAATGCACCACTCTGATTGATACTGATAGGAGGCGTGGATGTGTGTGTACCGGTGCATGTGCGGGTATGTGGGATTTGCAAACTTAACTTTTCCAAAAGTTTTTGGGAAGTGCTCAAGGTACACTGGCACACAAGTCAATCGCACACTAAAGGACTGAAACTTGTTGCTGGAACAAGTTTGTGAAAACAGCCCCAGGGTGTAGCCAACTATTAAAGCTCTTATAGCTCTTTTCCCCACTGTGTGCGAATCTGTGCAAAACACAAAACAAATCCTCCATGTTGTTGGCTGACATGATGTCCAGAATCTGGAAGTTGGGAAAACGATTCACCTAAATCTACTAGTGACAAATAATGCCTTTTTTAGTTTGTAATATATGTGTGTATGTGTATATACAGTACCATTCAAACGTTTCAGTAAGACTTTTTTTAATAAATGAAAACTTTTATTCTATTTATTCTTCACAATATTAATGTTTTTACTGTATGCTTCGTCAAATTAATGCAGCCTTGGCAAGCATAAGAGACTTTTTTAAAAACATAAAAAAATAAAAAATAAATGACCTAATGATTTTAAGCAACCATCACCCCAACTTTTATTATTTTTTATGAATTTACAGTATAAACCATTTCAGTATAAACCATATTTGGATTTAGCCTTCATTAATATGTTACATCAAAAAATAATAAGAATTTAGAAGCAAATTTGTGAGAAAACTAATTGCAGGATCAAAAATAATCGGAGAGAAGAATGATCTTGTAAATGACGCAACTAGACGGTGATTGGTAAAGTACACAACAACAAGACACTAAATAAGAAACTGTATGTATTTGTAGCGCGAGTTTGGCTTAAGTATAGACAAAGAGATCAAATAAGCCATATGTGAAGAATAGCAGAATGCACACCGAGCAGGAAGGATTTGATCTCATCTTCACACTGATGTAATACTTGTAGCCATTTAAAAGACATCCAAAAACACACACAGCTAGGGAACTGCATTTGTCTTTCACGCATCTCCTCCTCAATGAAGGCAGATGCGTTTCTAATAAAACCATTCCTACAGCTGACAGAGCACAAAGAGTCGAGCTGATTAAAAGACATATAAAAACATGTTTAGGGAAAATGGTGCCAGTGTGACGTGCTGTAAAGGAGTTTGTCCAGCCCCAAGCTCACTTCCTTCTCTGGCATTTCTAATAATTCCTCTATCTACAGCCCTGTCACTGTCCCTTTTTTTCTACCCAGATGGCATCACCATGGAGACGGCAACACAACCTCTCATCTGGAACATCAAACACACCATTGCCAACTTGGAGAAGGAAGAGAAAATGAGAAAGCGTTGAATGCTTTCTTTAAGGAACACTGGCAGTGTGAAAACAGTGTGAAAACTCGAAGAGGTGGTAACAAAAAATCCTGTTGTTTGCGGCAGAGAGATAAGACAGTCAGATATGATGACAGTATGCACAAGTCAAGTCTTATTCGACGTGCCTGCAGGGCTTGTGTGGAACCCATGCTCGGGCCTGCATTACACAAATGGGAAGAGGCCCAAACTACACATAGAAGATAAGTCGTGGATTTGTTATTTGGAATTAAAGCGTGGAAAGCGCAGTGGCGAGCAGTGTGTAGGTGGAGATGTGATATTTGCAGAGGGTATGAATACCATTTAGGCCGGCTGGTCGACTTCACCACGGGGGACATCCCATCTCTGTACAGGCTCTTGGTCTTGCTGAAGTTCACAATGTTGAAAATCACCCTCTTAAATAAGAAGAAACAGACATTTTTAGTCAGATGGAACCAAGGCTATTTTATTATATTTGAAAATGAACACTAGCAGTGAAGAAAACAAAAAAAAAATTAGAGTTTGCAAACAAACTGCAAAACAAAACTTTTTTTGTATGTTATGTTTGGGCAGGTAAATCTGAAATCAATGAGATTGCAATAGGAACAATAAATAAATGTGTAAATAATTGTTTAATTATTAAATAAATGTTTATAGAAATAAAAAATAAATAAATAGTGGCTACAGCAAATAACGAAATGGAGTCTCATTGAGTTGACAATGCAAATGATCCAAAACACAACTTTTGATTATATTAATTACATTCTCGTTCTTTTTTTCTTCTTCTTCTTTTTCCAAATCCATCTTGTTCTCTGGTGAGGGGATCTGATCCAGCCCATTCTGCTGAATCATGAATGCCCCAGAGAAGCCAGAATGATGGTAGTTACTTTAGTATTAAAAGCAGCAGCAGTCTGACATTTACAGTATAGCTCATTAAATTGTCTGCAAACACTATACACTGTGTTATGAATTTGATAAATAAAACTTTGAACTTCAACTTGATGGTACTGAGTATAACGCAGTTTCTGATCATTTTTTGTTGGCAGATGCAACAATTTGTAGTGCTACACATGTAATCAATACCATGCATAATTGACTTGTTCGGCATTGCTGGGAACGCCCACAAAAACGTCATAACCATTTATGCCGAGGGGGAAACCAAACCATTCGAATTAACGCACGGAGACCTTGTTAGGCGCTTGATCTTTAATTTTTGTGATGATTTCGATTGATTTTTGCTTGGTGCAATGCCGAAAAGTTGCTGTGTGGCGTTCTGTACCTCTAATAAGTAAAAAAAACCCTGATCTGACGATGTATATGACTGATACACTGCAATGATCTGTCGTTAGTCCCGTCCCCCTGCACCGCAACCCAGTTCTGATGGGGCTTACAGTAACCCTCCTTCGCATCGCAATCAAATAAATCTCACTCCCTGATATTTTGTGCTGTCATAATCTATTAAAACATTTATTTCATATTATTATACACAATCCCTTACGAAAATTAGCAATGGTATTACTATAGTAAAAGTATAGTAGGCTAACCATGTTTTTTTTTGGTGTTTTTATTACAAATTGCAGCCTATTAACCACAGTTTTACTACAAATACCATGGTTAAACTATGGTTAGATGTTGTTTTTACCATGGTTTAACTATAGTAACCAATAACCATGTTTTTTGGTATTTTATA